AAGATGCAATGCAATTCCTATCAAAATCCCAGCAGCATTTTTCAGAAATAGAAAAATTCATTCTAAAATTCATATGGAATTTCAAGAGACCCTCAGGTATTTACACACCAATGTTCATAGCAGCACTATTCATAATAGCCAAGAATTAGAAGTAACTAAAATGTCTTATCAGGCCGGGCGCAGTGGCTCACACCTGTAATCCTAGCACTCTGGGAGGCCGAGGCGGGTGGATTGCTCGAGGTCAGGAGTTCGAAACCAGCCTGAGCAAGACTGACCCCGTCTCTACTATAAATGGAAAGAAATTAATTGGCCAACTATATATATATATATTATATAATATATATATTATATATATATTATATGATATATTATTATAAATTAGCCAGCATGGTGTCGCATGCCTGTAGTCCCAGCTACTTGGGAGGCTGAGGCAGAAGGATCGCTTGAGCCCAGGAGATTGAGGTTGCTGTGAGCTAGGCTGCAGCATGGCACTCACTCTAGCCTGGGCAACAAAGCGAGACTCTGTCTCAAAAATAAAAATAAAAATAAATAAATAAATAAATAAAATGTCTTGTCAGCAGATGAATGGATAAACAAAAGGTGGTATATACATGCGATGGAATATTATTCAGCCTTAAAAAGTAAGGAATTCTTACAAATGCTACATGGATGAATCTTAAGGACATTATGTTAAGTGAAGTAATGTCAGTCGCAAAAAGACAAATATTGTATGATTCCATTTACGTGAGGTAACTGAAGTAGCCAAATTCATAGAAACAGAAAGTATAATAGAATGGTGGCTGCCAGGGGCTGGTGGTGGGGGAGAGTTATTTAATGGGTATAGAGTTTTAGATTTGCAAAATGAAAAAGTTCTAAAGATCTGTTTCACGACAAGGCAAATATACTAAATACTAGTGAACTGTACTCTTGAAAATGATTAAGATGGTAAATTTTTTATGTACTTTTTACCACACACACAGAGTATTAAAACATTTGTCCAACACAAACAAGATCTATGACCTCAGAATTTACAATCTCATATGGAAGACGAGAAATAAACAGAGAACTTGGATAGGTTAGGTCATTTCACAGTGCCAAGGCAAACACTAAAGGACTTACTAAGAAGCAGGGTAAAACACTGTTCAATTAGTATTTCCCTGAACATGCTTCCAACTGATATGATGATGCTATCACCTGGGAGTCCATTCTACCCCAACATAATTTATCCTAACTCAAAACAGGATCTAGGCCGGGCCCCGGTGGCTCACGCCTGTAATCCTAGCACTCTGGGAGGCCGAGGCGGGCGGATTGCTCGAGGTCAGGAGTTCGAAACCAGCCTGAGCAAGAGCAAGACCCTGTCTCTACTATAAATAGAAAGAAATTAATTGGCCAACTAATATATATAGAAAAAATTAGCTGGGCATGGTGGCGCATGCCTGTAGTCCCAGCTACTCGGGAGGCTGAGGCAGTAGGATCACTTGAGCCCAGGAGTTTGAGATTGCTGTGAGCTAGGCTGACGCCACGGCACTCATTCTAGCCTGGGCAACAAAGCGAGACTCTGTCTCAAAAACAAAAAAAAATGCTCCTTTTCTTATGGTGATGACAGCAGATGGTAGTTTAGGTTAGAGGCGGTGTGTGTGTGCGCATGCAGACATGCATGTGTGTATTTTCTGGACTCATGAAATCAAGGAAGTCTGAGAATCACTGTTTTAAAGCAAGTCCTCTTAGAACAAAGCATTGGAGTCTTTGGTCATACCACCCTGAACGCACCTAATCTTGTCTGATCTTGGAAGCTAAGCAGAGTCAAGTCATGGTTAGTACTTGGATGTGAAAATAAAGCCTTGGAGAGCCTTTTAACCTATGATCCTTTTTTTCTTTTTTCTTTTTTTTGAGACAAGAGTCTTGCTCTGTCATCCATGCTAAAGTGCCATGACATTAGCCTAGCTCACAGCAACTTCAAACTCCTGGGCTCAAGCAATCCTCCTGTCTCAGCCTTCAAGTAGCTGGGACTACAGGCGCATGCTACCATGCCCAACTAATGTTTTCTATTTTTAGTAGAGATGAGGTCACTCTTGCTCAGGCTGGTCTTGAACTCCTGAGCTCAAATGATATTCCTGCCTTGGTCTCCCAGAGTGCTAGAATTATAGGTGTGAGCCACAGTACCCGGCCTTAACTTTATAATTCAATGATTCTAAATATCACTATTATCTAGGGCAGAACTTCTCATGGTAATTACCAGCACCGATGCTTGGCTCTTCTGCTATAGTGGTTTTTTAGCACAATTTCTTCATTAGAACTACTTTTATTATTTTGTTTTCTGTTCCTTACAACTCTGTACAATGGTTAAGGTAGAAATTTTTCTTATTAGCTAGTATCACCCAGGGCAAATAATCTCTCTGGGTCTCAGTTACTTCATCCATAAAATGTGAACAACAGTATTTCTACCACATAGGATTTTGGGGGGATTAAATTAGTTAACAGACATAAAATGCTTAAAGCAATGCCTGGCACATAGTTAGAGCTCAAGAAATGATAATTATCATATAGAATGATCTTCAGACTTGCTCCAGATCACAAGCTGGCACTGCTAACAAAGCTGATACTAGGACTAGATTGCTCCCTGCTAAGATCCTGCCTTTAGGCCCTGCCCCCACACTCCCCTTCTCCACTAGTTGAACATTATAAAGGTAATACATGTGGTATTTCTGGGCAAATTATTACTCTGGGCTCTTAAGAGTTATCTCTTCAAGTAAAACCCAACTGCTTAGTTCCACACAACCTAATCCTGCCATTTTAATACTATAGGTTTATGATTTAAAATTACCTTCTTGGCCGGGTGCAGTGGCTCATGCCTGTAATCCTAGCACTCTGGGAGGCTGAGGTGGGCGGATTGCTCCAGGTAAGGAGTTCGAAACCCCCGTCTCCGACTATAAATAGAAATTAATTGGCTAACTTCTATATATAGAAAAAGTTAGCTGGGCATGGTGGCACATGCCTGTAGTCCCAGCTACTCGGGAGGCTGAGGCAGTAGGATTGCTTGAGCCCAGGAGTTTGAGGATGCTGTGAGCTAGGCTAATGCCATGGCACTCACTCTAGCCTGGGCAACAAAGTGAGACTCTGTCTCGAAAAAAAAAAAAAAAACTACCTTCTTTCATACTCCTTTTTCACTTGCACAACTGGAAATTTGACACACTTCAAGCTTTAAAAACTTGTAATATTAATAAGCTCTAACACTTCAGCAGCCTCTCTCTCAAGCATACCTTCTGAAATTCTCTGCTTTGCATTCCCAATAGCAGAATTTGCAAAAGAAACTCTTTGAAGACACACTTAAGTGCAACTTCAAATGATACAGCACCACTGGGGACTCAGACAAATCACAGAGGCAGATAAACATAGGGAGCACTGACAAGCACCTGGAGTTTTTCTTTCTGAAGAGAGGATGGCAGGAGCAGACTATGCCAAACTCACTATAGTAGTCCTCCCTTATCTGAGCTTTGCTTTCTGAGGTTTTGGTTACTGGCAGTCAACTGCAGTCCGAAAATAGGTAAGTATAGTACAATAAGATATTATGAGTGAGAGAAAGAGAGGGAGGGAGGGGGAGAGAGAGAGAGGAAGAGATCACATTCACATAACCTTTATTACAGCATATTGTTATAATCGGTCAATTCATTATTATTGTTGTTAATCTTACCTGTGCCTAATTTATAAATTAACTCTCTCAAAAGTATGTATGTATAGGAAAAAACATAGCACATATAGGATTCAGTACTAGCCATGATTTCAGGCATCCACTGGGGGTTTGGAATAGTTTGCAGCCACAAATCAGGGACCAGTATGCCAACTGGTGGAGCTAGATAGCAACTGCTGGTCCATGGCTGTCATCTTCGATACAAAGGATAAAGTGTGAGCCGGGCGCGGTGGCTCACGCCTGTAATCCTAGCACTCTGGGAGGCTGAGGCAGGCGGATTGCTCGAGGTCAGGAGTTCGAAACCAGCTCGCGCAGAGCGCGCCCCGTCTCTACTATAGATAAGCTCAAACTCTAATTGGCCCAACTACTTATAACCTATAACAAATTAGCCGGGCTCGGTGGCGCATGCCTGACTCTCCCAGCTATTGGGAGGCTCGCGCGCAGCAGGATTCGGCTTGACGCGCGCAGTTTGAGGTTGCTGTGCCGCCGCGCCTGACGACGGCATCACTCAAATAGCCTCGCGCGAGACTCCGTGTCTCAAAGAAAAAAAAAAAAAAAAAAACAAAGGATAAAGTGTGGCTCCCTGCATCTGCATTCCTCAACCATTTATTTACCTCAGTGCCACAGCAACAGTTGGCCTGGAGGCATATTTGCCTATCTGCTCAAAAAATAAAAATGGAAAGAATCCTACATAAAGAGAAAACATAAAAAGCTTAATAAAATGTTTTGAGCCATATGTGGTGTTATCTCCTTTTCAACCTTGTTTGTATTTTATTTATTTACTTATTTATTTATTTTGGAGACAGAGTCTCCCTTTGTTGCTCCAGCAAGAGTGTGGCGCCATCATAGCTCACAGCAACCTCAAACTCCTGAGCTGAATCCATCCTACTGCCTCAGCCTCCTGAGTAGCTGGTACTAAGGCATGTGCCACCGCGCCCGGCCTTAAAGGACTTTTCTATATATACAGGCTCACGCCTGTAATCCTAGCACTCTGGGAAGTCAAGGCGGGAGGATCCTTTGGGGTCAGGAGTTCGAGAACAGCCTGAGCAAGAGTGAGACCCCTGTCTCTACTAAAAATAGAAAGAAATTAGCTGAACGACTAAAAATATAGAGAGAAAAAATTAGCCAGGCATGGTGGCACATGCCTGTATTCCCAGCTACTCGGGAGGCTGAGGCAGCTGATCACTTCAGCTCAGGAGTTTGAGGTTGCTGTGAGCTAGGCTGACGCCACGGCACTCACTCTAGCCTAGGCAACAGAGGGAGACTCTGTCTCAAAAAAAAAAAAAAAAAGAAAAGAGAAGAGAAGAGAAGAAAAGAAAAATAGTTCTTTAAAAATCTAAGAGCTCAAGTTAGATAAGTTTTTATGACATCTGAAAGTAGAAGTTTCATTGTTTTTTTATTTTACCCTGAGTATCTACTCTTCTTCCACAGGGCTATGTGGTTCTGGAGAAGCTGACCTCAGCACTAGCTCAGGGATGGGTCCTGAAAAGTCTAAGCCAGTTTGTGTGTGGTACCCCTGACAACAATCACTGGTCCAGCTGTGGGCATGATGTGGTTTAGGCTTGCCAAACAAACTGAACAGAAAGACATAATCCATGTGTAAGAGAAAGGTGTCATCTCAGTGATGGTATCAATTGGTTATCTCTTCCAAATGAATTAAGATTGTCCTCATTCTTTGTAAGCTGTGTAATTTTGTATCCTGAACATTTTTAATATTCTGAGACTCTGTAGTCTTCTTTTTTTTTTTTGTAGTACAGAGGGATGGAATGTAGTCTTCTTTAAATTACACAATGAATGTCTCATTTTAGTAAGCATCAGCCTGGCTGGATGCAGGTCATAAGATCCAAACAACCTTCTGTGGATGTAATTTAAATATCAGTAACATAGTCAAAGCTTTGCAGAGCTATTCGGATCTGTCTGGCATGAGCGCTACCCAGTGGCCAGTCAAGCACCTGGGTAGTGATCTAGCTCATAGTTCAATTCTCAAAATCTCTGGTATGCTGTTTAGGGTCAGATCCACACATGTGCTGTTTAAGGGTGGGCCTTGGAGTTCATGAACAACTTTACTGGGTGTGTTTCCCACCTTCTTCTCTCCCCATTTTTTTTTTTAAAATTTTAAAGCTCTCACGTGGCTTTATTTGCGATTTTAGAGTCCGGCAATACTTCATCTCATAATACAGAATAAGTGTTCCCTCTTTCCCCCAGGTACTTTCTACTTCCCTGGAGCTCCCCTTTTCTGTCTGCCAGCCAGTAAGATGGGGCTTTAGTTACCATGCTTTACCACGTATTTTGGGGGCTAGGTCACAGTAAGACAGAGAAAGAAAAAAAATGATGGGAGTTTGCCCCACTCTTTTAGGACTACAGCCTCTCCAAACAAAGGTTCCCCTCCCTTACAGTTTCAGGCATCTGTGGGCCCCAGCTGCTGTCATTGCCAGTACAAACAAGATTGCCCGGGGCATGAGAGAAAAAGAAAAATATTTCAAAGAAAGGTGTTTCTTCCACTCTGACCATTAGAAGTCTCCTTCCCCACTCAAGCCAGAATTAGAGGTTTTATCCTGGAGTTCTCTGTCCAGGCCTAGTCCCTACTTCCAAGTTTGGGTTGCTTTGAGTCCAGTCCAGGGGATACTAGAAATAAAAGGGAAAACTCCCAGCTGGACTGATAGTACTTCAAATCCTGGTCTTCTCTAATCCACCTGCTAGTATTTACTTTCCAGAGTCCTCCACTGCTTCTCTATGCATTCTGTCCAGGCTTTCTGCTGCATGCAGTGGGCGACACTTGGCAGACTCTGCTTGCTCTGCCTTCCATAACTGGAACCCTCCAGGAGCAAATCTTTTTAAATGTAATGGTCATATATTAATAGTATTTTAATGTGTTCTATAAAATAATAGAAGATCCATAACTCCATGTTTTAAGAATGAGTTCCAAGTACTCTCTTTAGTAAAAAAAGAAAAGTAATTTGGTTTACAGAAAAATATTAACTCTAAGATATTACTAGAATGTGGCAAAAATTATGAAAATGGTATACAAAGGAGTAGTCTGGGAAATACCATTCTATAAGATAAAAGGCACTTTATTTTTAAAGCTAGTTCTGTATAGTTCTACTTTTATAATAGCATTATTAATGTACATTATAAATTAATATAAAATAAAATCCACATGAACTTGCTTATATGATTTGCGTTCTGTTAACTGACCTTGAGTTGTTCCCCTCTGGCTACTACAGTCTACAGAACACTAGGAAAGAATAAGGAAGAACATTTAGGGACCTATAAATAAAGTTGTCCTCAGGAGGGTGGGTCTGAGGGACTGGAAAGGAGGACCCAAGGTAGAAGGGAGTGTTCCATACACATTAGGCAGTAAATGAAAAGACTATGGATCCAGAAGTTATCTTCCTCTTTTAGAAGCTTACCTAACTGAGCCTAGAGTGTGAGGAACTCTTCCTTGGTATTCCTATATTATCTTCCTCACACCCAATATTAGGTATGCCTAACTATAGTTCCTGGTTTCCTTTATCTACCTGAAGTCCTTAAGAATCAGAGTAATTATCCTGTTACTGTTGTCTTTGTAACCCAGGCATCACACAGAGATGTATATAGTTCATCAGTAAGTGAGGATTCGATGGATGGATGAATCTCCTGAAACCATGTTTCATACAGAGTCATAATGACTTCTTTCTCAGTATAAGCAGCTGCTATACTATTCAACTACATTAGTGTCAACCAGGGATTTAGCAGACATCTTAAAGACTAAGGATAAGGACAAAATGTAAATGGCTGTGTGTGTGGGGGTGGGGCATGTGGCGGTTGTGCCAGGGAGCAGTTTTTAGTGTTCTAGGGACTCCATCCACATCTAGCCTGGCATTGCTGCCCCATCACTCAGGCATTCTCCTGGCTGTGGAACAAAGTCTGTCCCTAATTGGAGACCTACCAAAACTGAAGGAAAACCCATTCTATTGTGAGAGACTTTCCCCCGCTTTATAATGGGTGTAATCAATATTACCTCTTCCCCAAGGTTGTAATAAAAGAGAGATTTGCATAATAATTGGCATCTAAGCTTGTCTGCTCCAGCTGCTTTATTCTTTTAAATGAAGTCACAGCATTCAGTTCTGAGATCACTGTGTTCCCTCTCAGTGACAGTTCCCTATCTCAAGACTCCTTCCTCTTCACCACTTCCTGTACCCTGTCAATCCCCAAAACTTATTGATTCTTCATTATGAACCTTGACTTTATTTCTCTCCATCATATCTTTACGATGACCAGCAAGGCTCTACAGGCTCACACGCCTTTCTTTCTGACCTCAGCTCTCATTACTCTCTCCCTTACTTATTCCTCATCAGCCACACTGGCCTCCTCACTGTTCCCCCAACACACCAGGCACTCTCTCATCTCAAGCCTGTGCGGTTCTGTTTCTGATGCGTAGAATGCTGATCCTTCAGATATCCACATGGCTTGCTTCCTCACTTTGTTCAGATATGTGTTCAGGGAACCCTTCCCTGGTCATACTATATTAAATCGTCCCCCACTTAACACTACCTTATGCCCCTTTGTAATTTGTTTTCCGCCCTGGCAATTATCACTATCTAACCATAGTATATTTTTACTTATTTACTGTCCTCCCCTCTAGACTATGAGCTCTATGAGGACAGGGAGTTCTATTCTGGTCACAGCTGTATCCCAAGTGCTTAGAATAACACCTAGCAGAAAACATGTCCAGTAATTATTTTCTGAAAGAATGAACAAAACTACCTCTACCCCCATTGCCTCTAATCTCATTTAGATTATCATTGGTTTTAGCCCACTTTACTGTAAATGCCTTTTAATAGATCTTCCTCTATTCAGCCTAAAACCCAAAATGTCATTCTCACTGCCTTGGGGTAAAGTCCAAACTTCTCAACATGGTTCACGAAGGATTTTGTGTTCTGATCCTGCATACCTCTCTAGCCCACCCCTCTTTCCTTATACCATGACTATGCTCTAGCTGTTCCATACCATTTTTAGTTCCCCTAAGGAAACCCTCTTACTTCTTCTTACTCTTACTCTCTTACTTCTGGGCTTTCCCATAAAGTGCTCCTCCTCTAGTGCATTCTCATCATTCCCCTGGCTACTCACTCCCCTTCCTTAGTCTGACTCATACTTATTCCTCACATCTTAGTATAGACATTCCTTCCTCTAGAAAACCTTCCCCTCTCCTGCAAAACTTGGTTAGATGTACCTTCTATGCGTGGTCAGAGCACAAGTGTACTTTCTCTTATTCACCATCTACCATGTTGCACTGTAATTGCCTGTTTGCTTGACTATATCCCAGCTATAACCAATCTGAGGCAGACCTGGTGCCAAGAACACAGCAGGTACTTAAACTTTGTTGAATGAAAAACTGAATGAATAAACAAACCACTTTCTACTTCAGTGTTTTCTTTGGCAAATTATTAATTGCTATGTCTAAGACTCCTTTTACATACCCTCAGAAGGGAAAAAATTATTCTGATAAAAATAGAGAAGCCAAAAGTAATTTTTGATCGGAGTGTGAAAAACAAGACAATCCTTCAGATCAAACAGAGTACTTTTTAAACCATGATGAAAGAAAGGGTCCAAAGATAAACTAGAACAGCAATGGTTGCAGACAATATAGAAAGTTAGAAAGTGGGCTGGGTGTGGTGGCTCATGCCTGTAATCCTAGCATTCTGGGGGGCTGAGGCAGGTGGATTGCTCAAGGTCAGAAGTTCAAAACCAACTTGAGCAAGAACGAGACCCTGTCTCTACTAAAAACAGAAAGAAATTAATTGGACAACTAAAAATATATAGAAAAAAATTAGCCAGGCATGGTGGCACATGCCTGTGGTCCCAGCTACTCGGAAGGCTGAGGCAGAAGGATCGCTTGAGCCCAGGAGTTTGAGGTTGCTGTGAGCTAGGCTGACACCATGGCACTCTAGCCCAGGCAACAGAGTGAGACTCTGTCTCAAAAAAAAAAAAAGTTAGAAAGTTTTTAATCTGTACTTAGTTAGGCTGGCGCGGTGGCTCACGCCTGTAATCCCAGCACTCTGGGAGGCCGAGGCGGGCAGATCGCTCAAGGTCGGGAGTTTGAAACCAGCCTGAGCAACAGTGAGACCCCTGTCTCTACTAAAAATAAAAAGGAATTAATTGGCCAACTGAAAATATATACAAAAAATTAGCCAGGCATGGTGGCGCATGCCTGTAGCCCCCTCTATTTGGGAGGCTGAGGCAGAAGGATTGCTTGAGCCCAGGAGTTTGAGGTTGCTGTGAGCTAGGCTGATGCCATGGCACTCACTCTAGCCCGGGCAACAGAATGAGACTCTGTCTCAAAAAAAAAAATAATAATCCGTACTTAAATCTTGTATACCCTAGAATATTTAATATAGTGGCCAGAGCTACTAGCCAATAGTTCCACTTACAGAAGACCGTATGAATTAGTAGACCTAAGCAATGACCATCAATGGCTATTCACATAAAAAAAAAAAAAAAAAAGACAGAGAGAGACATCCAAATGGTATGTACTTCCCGATGTAAATATATACTAACACTTATTAAGTATTAAAAAAAAAAAAGCATATGAATCTAGTGTCTAGATTTAACTACCAATTTCTATATAACACAGTAAAGGACATAATAAATGTTAACTGACACCACTGTGATAAAGTCACTAATATTCAAACTGAAGGGAAGTCTACAAGACAAATGACTCTGTTTCTTTTATAAACAGTTTGTAAGGGGCAGGGAGCGAGAGACAGGAGAAGAGAGGTAGGCAAGAAGGAGAGAGATAATCAACTAATTATAATGCTTGAACTTTATTTGAATCCTGATTCAAACAAGCAAACTATTTTAAAAATGAGATAATTGGGCAAATTTGAACACTGACTACTAGTCAATGATATTAAGGAATTACTATCAAATTTTATGTGCTTGATGATTATTATGGTTATGTTTTTAAAAAGAGCTCATCTTTTAGAGAGACAAAATGGAATGTTTATGGATGAAATAATAAAAGTCTAGGATTTGCTTCAAAATAACCCATGAGTAGGGTAAGAAAGAAAAGAGGGTATAAAGCTTGAAATTTTTCATAATAAAATGTTTTTTGAAAATTATGGAAAGCATGGTTCATTACAGACAAAAGACAACTGAAGTCCTTTTTTCCTACTAATTTTATTTACCTAAAAAAAATAAAACTAATATGAGTGCAGAATATAAAAATTCTAAGAGTACTCTCCCTCTGCTTTCTGTCCCCTGTAGCCTCTCTAGCAGCAATTAACTGAGCATTCTTCTGGGGCATACTTCCAGGAATATTTTATGCATTTAGAAATGTAATGCTTAAAATAATTTACATTTTGCCATACATGTTGTTCTGTATCTTTCTTTTTTCAAAATCTATTATATCTTAGACATTTTACCGTATCTTACACCTTACTCTTTTTAAAGACTAGCATATCCTATGATATGGACTGCATAATTCATTTACCAGCTTCCCTACAAAAGAAAAATTATGCTGTTTTCAGTGTTTCTTGTATTGTGTCATAAACAATACACCATAGATATAGTTGAGCATATATCATGACACACTTGTGCAAGTGTGTCTATAAGATGCGTTACAGAGATGAATTGCTGTGTTGAAGGATATATGCATTTAAACTTTGGATAGGTATTGTCAAACTGCCCTCCAAAAAGGTTATACTAATTTACACTCCCCCTCTGACAACTCCCACCAATAGTATTTGAGAGTACAGGTTTCCCTAATACTGGGGATTGACAGATCACTAACTATGTTTCAACGGGACATTTTAAAAATTAAATAAATACATACATATTTTGTTTGCATATCTTTCACTATGATGAATATTAATCTATTTTTTCTCTTTACCATGAATTGTCATTTCATGTCTTTTCTACTGGGTTGTTGGTCTTTTAAAATTGGTTTGCAAAAACACTAATGAAATCAAAATACTTGCTTTCAAAAGAAAAAATGATCCTCAAATTACAGATTTAAAAATACTAAAGATCAGCTTAATAATAGGAGTACATATTACCTCCAGGAAACAATATGACTTATAGCTGTTACAATTTTGACATTCTGATAAATGTCAAAAAAAAGAAAAAAAGAAAAAAGAACATATCAGATGTTCATATATTCAAGCAACCATGAAATTCACACATAATGTTTAAATTTACTAATGTCCCCTTAATTCAGCACTTTCCCCCACCTTTTCCAATCCTATTCACTTGTCT